TTGTCCCCTGGGCCTGCAAAGGCCTTCTGAGATGCCGGGGCTGGGGATGTGGGCAACCTGGGTGATAGTGGTCAGAGCCCTAAAAGCCTGCGCTGCCTCAGGCACATCCGATTGCCTCACCTGGCTCATTCAGGTTTTACAGGAGCCTACGGTGTTCCGATATGAGCAAGAGAAAATATGCTGTTGACGAGTGGCTCAGTTGGTTAAGAATGCAAGCTCTGAGCAACAGGTTCGTAGGTTCAGTTCCTATATGGGCCAGTGAGCTGGGCTGGAGCTGAGCTGCCACTGAGCTGATAATAGGTGGCAGGATGACTCAGCTGGTGAGAGCACTTGCTCCTAATAACAAGGCTGCCTGCAGGACTCCCGCATGGGATGGTGGGCTACACAGACCAGCAACTAAGATTGAACCACGACAACGTGGCTGTTCCCCTCCTCCAGCACTGTTCCCCTTCCCCAATTCCCTAATAAAAAATAAAAAAATATTATTAAAAAAAAAAAAAGTGAAAACGGCCGTCCTAACACACAAACACACCCCATCAAGGGTAACACAGTGCCCACCAGTCAGTCTTTCCCCCCCAGTTCCTCTACGGGGCACTCAGTGGGACCAGGAGCCACCCGCCCCCTGCGAGCCGGACTGGCATGGGCACGTCTCCCTTACTGACTTCACGCCTGGCTCCTCAGACCCTGACCCTGACCATGACCTAAGCAGTGACCCGAGGGAGGGAGTCGCTGGGAACCCGAAGCCACAACATTGCTGGGTCTCAGGCACCTGAGGGACAACGGGAGCGCTCCAGAGGCACCAAGAGGGCCAATCGAGACGCGCTAATGCGCCAAGTGGGTGGGGGGAAGGTGCGTGATGCAGGACAGCGAGACAAAGACCCGGGAGAGTGTCCGCGGCCTGCCCAGCGCATGCGGGGAGGCAAAAGGCCGAGAGCGAGGGCCATCTGTTTCCCAGTCCCTGTCTTCCACACACTGCTGTCCTGTGGGGAGAAGACGTGAGGGGACCAGGGGCAGAGCGAGCAAGCGATCCCATTCGCCATGGCCTGTCCCTCATCTGGTGCGACCTGGGCCCTGCGGAGAGAATGCCATGTCACCACATCGGTGTGTTGTTGTTTTAAAGTTTTAGGCATGATCTACGGATTCCTCATTATGGAGGATGAGAAGTCAGCTCTTTCCCTCTGCCATGCTATGTGTTCACATCTCATCTTCCATCTTCCCAATATACTTATATAGTTATGTGTGGTTTTGGTTGATCAGTATTACGTGCTTACATTCTTATTATATATATATATATATATATATATATATATATATATATATATATACACACACACACACACTCTATTTGGAGGTGAGTGAAAGCTGAGCTATATGGTGTACTATGATTACTTTTCCTTTTCTTAAACAACTTGGTAATTAATTCTCTTGTTTTTCTTTTTTATTTCTTTTCTAGGTATAAACAGGAGTAGGTCCAGATTTTGCCGGCATGAACATTATACAATTTTGGGAACCCACTACGAAATAGAATACAACTTACAAATTTTCAAAAGGTGAAAGGAGCCCGGATCCTTAAATCATTGTTTGGAGAAGAGCCTACTTATCAGGAACTCCCCCTTTGGGCTTTATGCTGTACACAGTCACTAGTCTATATGGGTTTGATTGTATCAGCAGCTAGTTATTACTGAATTTCCTCAGCATAGTTTATTTTACCTGTAAGGTGCTATTTTTTTCTTTGTTTTGGTCTCTATCACTCATGTTAAAGGCTTTTCTCAAATGTCTGGTAATACTTGGTTGTACTCATATCTAAGAGTGAAGTCTAAACAGCTGATTGGTAGTCTTGGTATTTGAGATTTTCTGTATGGTGCTCTGCTTGGCCCCATGTCAATATTTTTAGGGCTGTTTTTTTGGGTGGGGGAGGTGTTAGATCCCCCAGAGAGGGCTTTTTCATCTTGTAAACAAAGAGTAAGTGCCTGGCTGCCAGTGTTCTGTGTGTTAGTGGGGAAAACTGGCCAGTGGGTCTTAGAATTTGGTGTTTATAGGATCACTAAGTCCCCTTGTATAACAATGAGTTAATTCCACACTCATGTAATGTGTCAATTCCTTGTTCCTTGTTCTTGGCTTACCTTACCTATCAGCCACATTCAACATAATGGATCATGCCTTCCATCCTGAAGCACTTTCAGCCCTTGGCATCCAGGACACCACAGCTCTTGTTATTCTTCCTAACTTTCTGATCACTCCTCCTTAGACTCCTTTATCATCTCTGTGCTTATGACTCCAGGATTTATAGCTCTGTCTAGATTTCTCTCCTGAATTCTAGGCCTAGATTTCTAACACACTACTCTCTCTTTTCACTTGGATGTCTAACAGGCATCTCAAATGTATTATGTCTAGATCTGAGCTCCTGAAATTCTTCCCATCCAAAACTTGCTCTTCCCAGTCTTCTCTACCTCAGTAAATAGAATTCCTTTCCCTCAGTTATTTGAACTCCCAAGTGGTGGTATCCTCTTCATCTCCTCTCTTTTTCTCACAAACATCCAATCCATAAACAAAATCTGTTGGTTCTACCCTCAAAATATATTTATAATCGGACCACTTTCTCTCCAGCCTTAGTCTAAACTATCATCATCTCTTTTGCCTGGATTATTGCAGTGTGACCCTAACTGATCTCTTTGCAAAATCAACTGTGGAGTTTGTTTTTATACATCCAAGAAGCTAAACAAACTTCAAGTAAGATAAACTCAATAAGATCTACATTGAGACACATTATAATCTAACTGTTGAAAGACAAAGAAAAAATCTTGAAAGAAGCAAGAGAGAAGTGACTGTCATGTACAGATAAGCTTCAGTAAGATTAACAGTCATTTTTTTTCATCAGAAACCATGAGCACATACCTTTTTACTTATCCTGTTGGCCTACTTTCACTCTAGGAAAGGTATTTGCCAAGGAAAAGAAATGCAAAGAAAGCGAAAGCAAGTTTCCCTTTGAAGTCTAGAGCAGAGAGCTGGCCTAATTGGCCCTTCCTAGATATTCTCACGGTGTAGCTGTTATCAAGGAAGAGCAGTCACAAAGAGACTTCCAGAAAAATGAATGCTAGAGAAACCATTTATCTAGAACAATTGCTCTCGGTAGCATTCTTCCTGCAGAGCACAATCAGGAGACTGGAAAGTGGAGGAGGCTACTGCAATGTTACAGGTATGATTCAGCCCCTTTTGACCACAAGACAGCTGAGCCAGAGATGGAGACTATGCATGGCCTGCATTACTGGGTTGCTTGCTTTGTTTCTACCCAATTTTTTGTTTTTATTGTACAAATTAGGATTGGGAGGAGGACCAAAAAATTGTTGTTACTTAACTTGACTCATAAGCCTCCAATATTTTTATTAGGTTTTCTTTAAAATAAAGCAAACAAACATATTTTCCAATGTTCTGTGGCATAATAGTGCTATTGAGCATCTCTACAGGCCAAAAGAGAATCCTTTGTTTACTGAAGGCATAGAAAACTCTCATTGTTAGATTTACTCCTCCAAGATGCCAGCCAACTCAAGTGGCCTTGTTACCAAATCAAAGAAACTGTCCAACCCAAGTGTTTCTTATCCATCCACACATCCACCCATCTACTCTAAATATTTATGGTAGGGAACCTGGAAAAGATAGAATAACATGATGAAGAAAATAATATCATCTATAATCCCATGATTTAGATTATCAACCTTTTGGTATATATTTTACTGAGTATTTTTCTGTGCATAGCCACTCAAATATTTGTAACACTGGGTCATTTTTACACTCTCTTATTATTTTTTTTGACTTATGTAAATAACTTCCATGTTGATAAATAGATCTCTATATCATCATTTTTAGGGCTTCTTAGTATTCCAGCCTACCATATCATTCCATGAGTAGTCTAAATATTCCTGCATTATTTTCCATTTAGACCAGTTCTAATTGCATTTGTATCTTTCAGATTTCAAGTGTGTGTGTGTGTGTGTGTGTGTGTGTGCGGGTGTGCTCCATCTAGCATAGTCGTTCAGTGTAATCTGTGGCATCGTAGTCTCGGAGGGCAGGATCCCAGTTTCCCAAGTTGCCCAGAGAACCTCTTCCTGGGTGTCTCAGTAGCTGATGTGCTCTGCTGGAAGGATGAATCTGAAATGTTGCCAACTTCTCACCCAACTTGACCCTATCCCAACTTTGCCAATCTGCCCTTTTGGGGCCACTAGTCTCATGAAGTCTATTCCTGAGTGAGTCCTTGTACCATGGAGACAGAGACCTCAACTCTTGGAGCAAAAGCTGCTTCTTGGGCAGAATCCTTAAATACAGCTGCTTCCAGTGCTCTTGGTTATGGTTTAACTGCAGCAATGTTACCTGAGTGGCCCAAGACAACAGAGCTTCCATCATGTTCATGTCCTTAGACTTGAGTATCTTTATTTGCTATGTACAGGGGTGGATTATTGTATCTTGTTTACCAGTAACAAGCTCCCCAGAATTTGTCTTATTTAATTCTTTAGCCTTGCACCTTAAAGTATGGTCCTCAGACAAATATCTGTATCACCTGAGAACTTGTTTGAAATGCTGATTCTCCTTTCTCACTAGCTCTACCACAAACAAAACAAAAGCTGCCAATTCATTTATTCATTCAACAAATAATTGTGGAGCATGTAATATTTGCCAAGTACCTGGCTAATGCTGTGGATTCAAAGGATCAGGTAAGGTAACATAAGGTTCTTATAGCAGTATCTGATATAAAGTAAGCACTCAATATGTTAGCTAGTAGTATTTTTAAAACCGTCTCCCATATTGGTTACAACAAGGCTTTCTATTAGAAAAAAATCATGTCCCCAAAGGTGAGATATTTTACATCAGTTGCTTGATACCCAGTCGACGGACCCTCCTTCATGCTGCAAGTACTGCTTTGTATTCTTCCTTTAAACAGACTGACTCCATGTTATTACTTTAGAAAAGATTCATTGAAACAAAGGAGTAAAGCACACAAGATGTAGTGCTTTTAAAAACATTTTTTAATGAAGAAATAACTCCATTCCAAAATATAGACACACAATTAAATAGTTTAATCACTTCAAAATATAACATGTCCCCAGGAGGTTCCAACACACACACACACACACACACACACACACACACACACACACAAAACAATACTTAACAGCAATACAAAAAACCCCATACAATAGTAGTTTTGTTACAATACCAATGAATATTGTGAAATCTTTAGTGTCTCTCTGAATTGGTTACTTCAAATGGTGTCAAATTACAGTAGTCATAATTAAAAATGTCTTACAGTTAATTAGCCTCACGATGTAATGCTTCTGATTTTTTTTTTCTTTTTGGTTCAAAAGTAAAAATGCCCTTTCTTCTGAGGACACAGTGGAGTTCTCGTTTGTGGCTCCTTGCATGGAATCGAACCAAGGTGACTGCAGCAACCAAAAGTTGCTATATGTATGAGTTTATCTACAGTTAACAGCCAAGAACTAATAAGGGTGGACAAAGATGATCAAAATAAAAGCAGACATTAGTGCTAAATTATGATGCAACGGTTTGGCTCATGCATATAAGAAAATACATAGTATATCACAACAAGGCCACGTTCTTACGCAATTCAGTTCACATTACTACTTACAAATGAACCTTCCCTGCCTTATCATTCAAGAATCCATTTTTCACAATCTCCAGCACATCTCCTTCTGACCAACCAAACTTACCCCGACGTCCAACCACAACTGATTTCTGTATTCCGTACAGTAGATTTCACACTCTTCCCTCCTCCATTAACATGGTGCTGTGGAGGAGGGTTGGCTGTGTTAGACCAGTGCTCATTAATAGGCCATCTTCTCTGATGGAGATGGATGTGCAATTCATTGTGAAACAAGAAAGAAACACCCCTTGCAAGATATATTTGTATCTAATTTTCAGGATAGGTAAAACCTGCTGGGTTTGCACTTAGGACAGGCCCCAAAAGTAAATTTGGAGAGCCAAGGAAAGAAACCCACCAAAAACCACAAAAACCCAAAACAACACATGCCATTTTGTCTCGATTACAGGACAGGGGTGCTTGAGTCTGGTCTCAGTGCTGACGTGGAGCTAAGAGAAAGAAAAGGTGGCTGGTTAGTCGGGAACTGGTCATTGGCAGCAGTTTCCAGAGTCCTTGCAATGGCTTTGTACGATGGTATCAACAACCATGTGATGGAGTTGGCAATGAAAGCTATGACAAGGGGGGAAGATTATCAGCAAAACAGTTCAAACCTTAGATAAACATTCTGATGTAGAAACATCTAGTGACAATAGATGTCAGCTCAGTCCAGTCAGTGGCTGAATGCCACTTTCAGGGTCAGAGTTCTGAGTTCAAGAACTACCTGACTACGATTTAGAGCTGAAAGTAATGTAGGTAACTGAGATGTAGTGGTTTTAAGTACTGAGTATGAGGCACCAGGGACCACCTGCTCCATCTAGAGAGGTATGGTTTCACAGAAGATGGGCAGTGGAAAGGAGATGAACATTAAGACATAACAACAAAACCCGCAATAAAATCCATCTGTGCAAAGAAATCTGAGAACTGTGCAGTTGTACCACTTTGGTGTCAGCCTGTTCTCAGGGACATTTGTCAGACTGGTTCTCTGGAAGGAAGTATAATTAAGTACATTATTGGACAGAATGGGCTCCTTATTAATGCCAACCAAGAGCTTTACTGTCCCCAAGGCAAGTGATTTTGTTCCAAAGGGCAGCCAAGGAGATGGTTTCTGATCAAATGCAGAGACAAGAACATCTTAGAGCCCTCTGAAGGGGGAGCTGGAAGATGTCAGCATGTCTGCTCTCATTTGGGTATCCACCAACTACCAACTAGGTGGAGTTGGAGAAGGTTTCTGCCAGCCCTAGAAGCAAAATCAAATCGCTGAAGCTTTGAGGTTGACTCAGAACCTTTGTTTACTCTGAATAAGGCTTTTTCAGAAATTTGATTATACAACTTTATTTTAAAGCAGTGGTTCTCAACCTTTAGTGTGCATCAGAATCACCTTATTAAAACACAGATTGCTGGGTCCAGCCCCCAGGTTTCAAATTTGGTAGGTGTAGGGGCCTAAGAATTTGCATTTCTAAATAAATTCCCTGGTGATGCTGATGCTTCCGGCTCAGGGAACACACTTTGAGAACCACTGTTCTCTCTTTTAAAGGAGAAGCAGGAATTCCAGAGAAGCTGCCAATTTAAGTATAATGTATCCAATATGCTGCAGGATTTTTATTTCATCAAATTTTGCAAACATAGGTTACTCTTTCATTTCCCAAGAATCCCTGAGGGAGGTCTTCAGAGCTCCCCAAAAAAGGGCCCTCATGAAGGACCGCCCACAGAGCCTTTCATTCTCCCTTCTTTGACCTTTCTTTTGCACATCAGCATTTCCCCGAGTGCAAAATCCTAACTCAACTTAGAAGAGCCCGTTTCCTGTCACATGACCACAGAAGGCTGCATGCAGAACACCAGGTAGCCAGCTAAGGCAATAAACATTCAGAAATAAAAGGAGAGTGAACGTTTTTTGCAAGCGCACTTTAAGCCTGTACATTTAAAGCTGAAGGCCTCCAAACAACCTGATAGGGGAACTTGTGGATGAGCGGTGCTGTTAGAAACATGCTCCCTAAAGCTAATATGAAAAGAACACAACCATGGAAGAGCAGAGATCACTCTAGTCCGCTTGGGGATCTTATGGCACCTGTGGTTTATAAACAGCTTTAGTAACGAGTATTTCAAAACATAGTTCACAGTTTTTAAGAAGATCTGTGCTGATTTTAAAAACTAAATTCTCTATAATTTGAATGTTGCCTTTTTTTTTTTTTGGATATGATGTCTATTTGAAAAAAATATTTACACTAAATTCTATGGCTGACTTGTTAGAGTATCTTGAAAGAAAACAACCTCAAGTTGGAAAGAAGCCCCAGAGACTGGACTATCCTGGTGTGTTTGGTTCAAGTCACTGCTCACAGAGACTTGCAGACAACTGCAGACCGTGCAGGCCCAAGGACCCTTCTTGGCGTCCGGGCTCTGAGTTTGTACACTCAGGAACCAAATCCCTCAGGGTCAGTGAATAATTGCAAGTGGTTGTTTTTTTCCAGTTGCTGTGGAAAAAAAAATATGTCCATTGTAGAATAAACTGTTTTGCTAAAATCTCAAAGAATTCAGAAATCAAACTTCTAGCTATAAATAGTATTAATATTGTCATTGTAAACGGAACAGGTTCCATATTATGTGCAAAGGTTTAAAATGCTTGTTAATCCTAAGTAACAGCAGCATGGGTTTTCAGCCTGTGGTTGTTTTTTTTTTTTTTTAATCGGGGATGAGCCATGTTACCGAAGATGTAGCTGATAAGTTAGCTTTAAACAGTCTTTTTTTTTTTCCTTCTTAAAACACACACTTAGGAACTACAAATCTTAGAACACAAAGTTAGCTGCACTATAGTCAGCAGAACACGTCTTTAGGGCTGGGGGGGGTCTGTCAGGAGTTGCTGTGTGTGGTGGTTCCTCTCTCCGGTGAGGTTGCTGCCAGGCTGCTGTCTTCTCCTCTGTGGGGGTGGGTGCAGCGCTCCCCTTCATCACCAGCTTGCATGTTACTTTCATCATCTGACTATAGCTTGCCTGGGAATAAGGAATGTGTCATTTCTTTTTAAAAATGAGCACTGTTCTCTGAAATAGGGTTATGAAGCTGAGGATTCCCCCTTTCCCCGACACACACACACACACACACACACACACACACACGTACACACGCACACACATACACTTGCTCTACTCCTCTCTTCTAACAATCAGGAATGAATGCGTGCACCTTCTGAAAGAGAGGACAAGAATCCTTCTTGATGAGTCTCTTGTTAATGGGTACCTGAGACATACGGAGGGTTAAAGCAATGCAAACAGAAATATTTGTGCTGTCCTTTAGACAGGAGATGACAGCACTGACACCATCAGAATGCCATGCTAATTCAAAAAACAAAACAAAAATCATTTAAAAGTCTACTTTTGATCTTCCAACTTCCCAGTTTCTAGGCTGTGGCTGACCAAGGAGTGGAGTACCATGAGGCCAGAGGGATGGACAAGGGACAAATCCAAGATTTGAGTGGGCCACAATGGAGTTTTGTGGGGCTCTCAGTTGAGTGCTAATCTTTATGTATACTGTGTCTTCCAAAGTGGCCACTAGCTGAAAAGCAATAAACCAGGTTTCACTCTCTTCACTTTTGTTCGTATATTAATAAGTACATATTTACCTTCAAATAGGCATAAAGCTCTCTTTGAGTGAGGATGGGTCCCCCATGTCTCTGGCATCCCACCCTCTGCCCCTTACCATGTAGGGCTCTGTTGACGGATGCCTAATTGACTGGAGCCAGTGAAGGTGGCTTCGGGATCCTTGGATAAAAGACTCATACACTTTGGATAATTTCTGGTCTTGCAGCACAGTCAGAAAGTCAACAAATATATTTCAATACCATAAACTGCTCTAAAATTTTAGCTGTATTTCTTGGCTACATCAAGAAAAATTACAGTAGGCTAGAACTACCTGCAAAGAAGGAAGACACTAGCTTCTGCAGGGCTCTATCAAGTTTTAAACAAATTTTGCCTAAGTGGCTGATTTAGTGACAGGCTGGTTCATGTTTAGAGTCTTGTGCAATGGAGCTAGTAGGTACAAGATGCATTAAATGGCAGAGGCCATGGCTGTGTTAATGTTTTACTGCCACATTTATACCAAAGATTAAAAAATGGCCCAAGAACTTACAAAGTACTGAAATTTTTGGCTTTTAGGTACAAGAACCAAATGCCACTTTTTGCCTGGGTTTATATCAAGGACAACTTATTAGACTTTTTACAAAATATATTTTTTCTAAGAACTAGCTACTGATGTATAAATAATATGCAGAATAAAAATGATCAAGTTGCTGGAGCTAAGAGGAAGAAAATGCTATTAAAGGAAAAGGCTTGCTCCTTTGGGACTAGATTTGTTATAACTGGAGAGAATATTTTCAGGAACAGCTTCTGGGAATTTTTTCACCATAGTCGCAATGTATTGGGAGAGCGTGTGGTGTAACCTCCTGTAACCCAAAGGAGGGAGGGAGAGGAGAATGTCGTCAGTAAGATCCTTCCTTTCACACCAAAATGGCCTCATAGCTCAAAAAGTATATTTCATAATAGCAACTATGCTTTGATTTTTACTTGCTTAATTTTAACCTGGGGACTGAGATAGGAGGTCAGTAGTGTTGGAGCTAGAATGTATTCTTTACTAATTGATATGTCACTTAGGAGATAATACATCCCTTTTTCCAATTTAGCAGCCAGAATTGAGTTGACTATCAACTGCACTATAGACTTACGGTATTCCACGGTTGGGAAAAACTGGATAACTACAGTAGATATAAGTTCTTGGGCCAGTGCGGCCAGATAACTGTGAGATGAACTGTAATGGGGACATCTAAGTGGCCATTCACTGGAGCCAGAGAAAGCATCTAGACTTATGGGACAGTGTAGCTGAAGGTGCATTGAATCATTGCACATAGCTGAGTCTTAGCCTTGTTTATAACAATAGAGGGAGCAAGCTAGTTCTGAGTCCCAGGGGCTCCCATCCATCATAACTACAGCAGCTCCCAGGGACTGAATTACTTGCAAAGCACTGAGCATAGTGCCAGGCATCTATGTGTGTGCTCACTAAAATTATAGTGTGCCTGCCACAACGTTAAGCTCTTTAAAAACTATATCCCAGTGAGGACAACTCCTATGAGGTAGGTGTTGTGATAATGTTGTATAGAGGAAATAGAGGCTCATAGAGGTTTATGCTGCAAGGATTTGATGAAACATATTCGAAATCGGGTCTGCTAGAGTCCAGAGCCTAAGCTTCAGACCATTATACTCAAGTGATCCTGCGAGTCAAGTGCTATTCTTTCTCCATTAAACAACTTACTGAGGGTTTTCTATGTATGTAGTTGGGTCCTTGGGGTGAGGTGATCACATGCCACATAAATGATATTTTAAATTGTTATATCTTGCTGAATTGAGCAATGGATTTGAATCAGTTGTTCCAAAAATATAAGGTTGCAGAAGTTTTCCTCTATGGTTTGCTTCTTTTGTTTCAATTTGGCTTTCACTTGTTAAGGGACACTACTTTAATGTTTTGGGCCCTGAGGGCAGCATGACTAAGGAGCTGACCAATCTCTGGAAATGCTGAACAAGCCGGGCTTTTCCTTCTCAAGTGATAGAGAGGCTCAAACTTGGGTGCTGTTGTGGACTGGTGATGTGGCTTCACAGCCACAGAGTATTTCTGGGCCATCTCTGGCTTTATAGAAGTTTCTGTGCCATTTTTTTTCTAATTAATAGAGTTAAAAAGTCAACTCCCAAGGTTGTTTGCCAAATCTACACGGGATTATAATGAAATGCTCCATAGACTGGGATGATTCTTTGACAAAAGCAGGGAAGGAGACTATTTTATCACATAGCATCACCTAAGAGAGAGTGATTGTGAATTTAGGTTGCAAGTTATCAGAATTCAGTGTACAGTGGCCACATTTCCTCCTAAATCAGAGGGTACTTACTTGAGAGGAGAGTGATAAAAGGACATTGTATTCAACCTTGCAAGCTGACCTGTGGGTGACAAAGGACACAAACAAGAAAGGTGACATGTCAAGTCTGTGAAGCAGTCAAGCTGGTGAATTATTTGGTTGGAAGCCATGCACATAGAGAGAGAGAGAGAGAGAGAGAGAGAGAGAGAGAGAGAGAGAGAGAGAGAGAGAGGAGGAGAGAGAGATATTGAGATTTTAAGAATTTGGCTCCACCAGACAACCATATGCTCACAGGGCAGTCAAGGAAANGACATGTCAAGTCTGTGAAGCAGTCAAGCTGGTGAATTATTTGGTTGGAAGCCATGCACATAGAGAGAGACAGAGAGAGAGAGAGAGAGAGAGAGAGAGAGAGAGAGAGAGAGAGAGAGAGAGAGTCTCCAATGAATGATAGTAGCATTCTGATCCACCAGACAACCATATGCTCACAGGGCAGTCAAGGAAAACCACTTTAATATTCTCCAGGGCACGTCTTGAGTGGAAACACACAGGCCTGTTATATTCTCCTAGCTCTTTTCTTTGCCTTTCCCTTGAACTCACTGGGCATGGGAAGGAAAGGAGAGAGAGAGAGGAAGCTTAAGATTTACCAGAGATTGCAAAAGCTCCTACTGGATCTTAAGCTATTAATAGAATTTCCTTTCATTTTACTCATACAAGGTTAAATTCCTAATTCATTAAAATAAATACAAAAATCTAATGTTTTATATGGAATGGCTGCCTCCCTTAAAACAACAACAACAACAACAAATAAAAACCCCCTAGAATTTCAGTTACTGTTGTCATCCAAATCTGAAAACTGATATGAGCTCAAAGAGGGAGGCCTAACAAGCGCCCCTAACAGCGTGAGCCAGAGTTTCTGATTATTTAACCATCTCTCTCTCTCCCGCTATACAGAAGAGCCAAGAGAAATACGTGTAGGACTGCCACCCCTCAGAGTTCCCAGAGACACCCTGGCAGCTTCATCCAGGTTAATTTCCTTCTGTGGACGGGCCATAGAAGTAAAGAAAGAGCCTTGTCCATGGGTCTGTACTTCAGGTAACTCTGACAGTTTCTGCAGTGTTGAAGCATGGCATTACATATATAGTCACTGTTTTGGTTATTTTTTGTATGACTAGAGTAATATTTTACTTGCTTCTGAAATGTGGTTGTTAAACCAAAAAGGTGAATGGAACATTCCAAAGAGGCAACACTTTTGTTTCATCTTGTCGGGGAGGGTTGGTGGGTTTCAAGTTCCCTCTTGTTACCTTCTTTTTGGGAAAATATTTCAAAACTTAATTTATAAACATATGAGAAATTGAGGATAATTTATTCTCTCTGCTTCTCTTTTCTTCACCAACAGAGTAAGAGAGGGCCACTGCTCACCTACGGATGTGGAAAAAACCTTCTCTGGCCACTGGACTGAAAACCTGACAATAAAATAATCCACTGGGGCCTGGGGAGCAGCAAGTCTCAACCAGGAAAACACCCCTGAACTCCCAGAACCCCCCAAAAACACGGGTGGATCACAGGGAAAGGAAACATATAGGAAAGACAAACATGACGCTCTCCATGGGGAAAATGATCCTCTTTAGGATAAGTTACTAATTACATTTATTCCCAATTGCATGTGTTATGTTCAGTAAATTCTCAGATGGATTAATATACTCCAGTATATGACCATCTGTCCATACACACCCTGATGAACATGGGGCCTATAGTTCCCTCAACATTTCTTGGGGAGATTTGTTACTTGCCTACTTATTTACATTTGACATGAGGTAGGCCGAGGACAAATGATTCAAGGGAGGAGATATATGTATTCTATTTATGCTTATTCCATTTCCTTGTGCGTTGTTGTCTGTCCCTTTTTTTATCTATGAGAAAAACCACCTTTCCTCATGATCTTGGTAGCGTATGGCCTGTTTGTCATCATGTTTCCGCTAATTATGACAACACCTCTTTTCACTTTCCAGATCAGACTTTATAAGAATACACGGCAAGTGATACCTATAAGTACTTAAAATTTTTAGTGTCTAGAATACATGGACCAAAGAGTGTAGTCAGAATATTCCAGAAAGGGACGGTGGAAGGAAGGGGAAGGCACCCATTTTTTGAGGAATGTAAAAGACCCAGCTCTGGAGGGGCTGGGGCAGAGGTGGTGGGTGGTGTGGACCTGGCTCCGTGTACCTGATAGCCTTCATCCTGCAGCTTCTGTTTCAGGTATTCCTCCATCTTGAGCTCATTCTCCAGCTGCCGGACTGAGTCATTCTCATAGTTCTCATCCTCGGGCTGCACATAGGCATCCCCATCTTCTGTAACCCTGGGAATAAACCACAGATGGAGTTTTGGAGCAAATCTTAAAAGGAAAATCTAAGTGAAATTCATGTGTTAGCTGAAGTTATGGAGGCACATTTACTTTGTCCTCCAAGTCACTTATTCACTTTAATTAACTTCCATTCAGTGTCTTCTGTTACCTAGCAGAAAACTTAAAAAAAAAACAAAAAAACTTTGGAAGTTTAAGGAAATATATAGTTAAGGTGCTCTCATGCACATTTTCTATGGCACGCTGGTGATCATTGGTCATCTATGTTTTTTTTCCCTAGGGTTTACAGGAATGAGTTGCCTTTTAAATACTGGTCAACCTTTAAAAAGGCAGGCTTTTCTTTTGAGTGGACATAGTTTTACTAATCTGAGGGCTTTTGTTTTATTTTGTTTTTAAATGGACTCCAAGAACCCTTTCTATAAGGAAAGTGAGCCCTCTAGTGAAATAATGATTAAGGACATTTGTTCATAATTTAACTGTGTTATGCACGTGTGTAGGCATGTGCACCCATGTGCTTTATTTTTATAGTGGAATTTTATAGTGGAATCAGGTCTCAGAATATCAGCTAATTGGTGTCAGGAAGGCTAATACTCTAACCCATAGCTCTGGATCTTAAAAATTTATGCTAGCTCTAAATCTAAGAAATCCATTGTCCAATTCCACTAGAAATGAATAGATAAGATTGATGTCATTCACTAAAGTGTGACTTTACCTCCTTATCTCCATCTATTCAATCCAGTATCTATAAAGCTCTTGCTGGGACTAAACATAAATTTACTACCTAAATCATTGGCTAAAGTAGTCTCAGGGTAAAACACAGTACATGTTGGGCCAGCCGAGTGGCGCATTGGTTAAGAGTTGGCGTGGGACGCCAGCTCTGAGCAGCAGGGCCCTGGCTGGGATCCTATGCGGGCCAGTGACACTGTGCCCTCTACAGTTAAGATGGTGAACAACAGCTTGACCTGGAGCTGGGCTGCCGTGAGTTGCCAGCAACGGCATAGGCTGCTGTGGGGCTGGCCAGCAGCTGGCGTGCTCTTTCGTGAGCTGCCGTGGGCTGCCTTAAGCGGCCATCCAATGGCTGGTGGGTGACTGCCTCACCAGGGAATAGCACAATGATAATACCAACAAGGGCCGGTGAAGTGACGTCCTCCACAACTAGATTGAAGACCAAAACGACAGCAACTTGTCTGTTCCTCTTCCCCAATTCTCCAACGCTGCTCCCCTCCCACAATTCCCCAATAAAATCTTTAAAAAAAGCAAAAAACAAAACAAACAAAACAAAGTAAACCACCACAGTACGTGTTTAGATGGTACAGATATTTAAATATCTCCTAAAATGAAGAGTGGTCAAGGAGAACTTTCTGGATTAGAACTCAAATGCCATTGCTCATATTTATTTATATCTGTACGACATGTTCTTATTATTTTTAGAGATTTTGGGCCAGCCTAAATAGGTCTGTGAGGCCTCTATGAACTTTTTCTTCCCAACTCTTATACAGCCCTGTTGGGAGCTAGAATTGCCACCAGCATACTGAGGACAGTAGAGTGGGGTGGCTTTAACTACAGTCTTGGATCTTAGAATTAGAGCAAGGAAATTTTAAGTGACCACCATGTAAAAGTTTAATTATAGAAAGTCAAATAGATAATGTGTTTACCAGACTAAACTGATGACAATGACTTCACCATTTCGATTAGCAAACAAATCAAAGAATTCTAAATTATAGAGGAAAGGACAAGAGAGCAAACTAAAATTAAAAGCAGCAGCTCACTGCCATTTTAAATTACGTTATTAACTGTTTTGTTTTGATCTTATGCTCTGCCTTTTCACAGCTGGCTTTCAAACCATGTCTATTTATAATTCCCCATTATTACTGGTCTTTTACTCACTGCTTGGATTGAGAGCCAAAACACCAGCAAGGCCTCTGGTTATTTTCTTCGTTGGGTCTTTAAAACAGCCAGTTTATTTTTGTAGACTAGTCTGCAGTACTTTTCAGATTAAGCACCATCACCCTTCTGTAGTTTTTGCAATGTTTAGCAATTCCCTTTTCAAGCCATTTGGTGAGCTTCTGTACACATTGCTCACAACTTACTCCATGAGCCTCGCTCTCCTAAAGGCACACATTCTTGGCTTCCTTTGTTTGACTCTTTTTTATCCCAAGCTGGGCTCTGCTTCCTTCACCTTTGTCTCTCAGCTTTGGTTTCCCTTGCCTGACTACTTCGAGCTGATCTGCATCACAGAAAGTCTAGTAGAGATGTCACAAATTCAGCTGGCTTCTGTCAAGCTTCAGACGCCTAATGAGGTAAAAACCTTTGCAAAATGGCTTTCGAGGGTCAGATTTATATATATTCAACAAGTCAACCAAATTGCATTTCTTTATAATGAGACTTTATACATTTACAGTCACGTGCTGCATAATGACATCTCAGTCAAGGATGGGCTGCATATACTATGGTGCATATATTATAGTGGAACTGGAAAATTCCTATTGCCTAGTGACACTGTAGCTGTCATAACATCATAGCGCAATGTATTACTCATGTGCTTGTGGTGATGCTGGTGTAAACAAACCTACTGCGCTGCCAGTTGTCTAAAAGTATTGCACACACAATTATGTACAGTACATAATACTTGATAATAAATGACTGTTACTGGTTTATGTATTCACCACACTATACTTTTATTTAGAGTGTACTCTTTTTATTTATTAAAAAAAAGTTTGCTGTAAACCAGTATGCTGTGTTAACTTGGCAGTAGCCGCATACATCTCGTGTTTACCATGTCCCTTGGTTGCATCATTTTCTCTTGTGCTTGGTTTGATCTCATGTTGTTTTGTACAGTAACATGCTGTACATACAGGCTTGTTGCCTAGGAGTAACAGGCTGTACCATAGAGCCTAGGTGTGTAGTGGGCTACACCATCAAGGCTTATGTAAGTGCACTCTGTGATGGTCACACAGTGATGCATTTCTCAGAACTCATACCCATTGTTAAGTGGCGAATGACTATACTTATTTCAATTCCCAGTGCTTATATGATGTTGTTCACACCCATTCTGAAAGAGGCCTCTCCAGCATTGTGGAGTCCTCTAAATGCATCTACAGTAAATTCAGAAGATAGGATGTCTAATCTCCTGAACTAGTCTCTGAGTCCTGGAAGACTGGGAGCGATTTTTTATATTATTTTGTATAAAATTAGCACAGAGCCTTGGGTGAGCCAAGTGCTCAATAAGCACTTGTTGGTTTTGGTTATTGATATTCTCTGGAAATTTTGATGGTGGGGAAGCCACACTGACAAATGTAAATGTAGCACCCTTTTACATCTTCTGGTAGAAAAGAAAACTGCATTATCCCTTTCCAAAATAAAAAAAGAAGCAACCATGTTTTTCTTTTCCTATGCTCCCTACAGTGTTCTGTTGCTGATAAAATACCCCCAAGCAGAAGATACTTACATGTCACTGCGCATGGTGCTTGGGGTAGCTCCACTGTGAAGGTAACCAGGTTTCCGGGCGTGGATTTGTGCTAGAAAAGCCTTTTCAGAGGTTGGCGATGGAACCAGATCCTCAAACTGAGTCCGTGCAAATTCAGAATCCACATTACTCTCTGTTTCACTCCCCACCTCTATTAGGTACAATTGAAGAAATAAAGAATGCCTTGTTAGATTTTTTTTTACGATCAGCCAATAAAGGGCCAGACTTCACATAAACCTATGTTGTATAAAACACTAAACAGTTATTATACGTAGGCCAAGTAAGTGCTTATTTTTTTTTCAAATGAGAATTGATACTTGACATGAATTATTGTAAAATCAATTGGTATACAGTATTGTATTTTTTTTTGGTCTCAGAAATGCTATGAGGAATTTTCTGTCTTAATAACAGACTTAACTCCTTAAAACTTCTGTTTTCTCCCTTTATAGAAGTCTTCATTAAAATTGTTTCTTTTGCTTAATATTTCTTTAATTTTTGAAATACAAACCTATAGTATTACATTTACTTAATATTTCAAAGTATTAGAAAAATATAAACTAATAATACTTTAGACTTCCACAATAAGAATAACATTTTTAGTTATCACTTGCTAGGGCAGTGAGTACAAACTATTAATCATGATGTATTAAGTATTGTCATTTTTATCCTGTTTGGTAATCTTTACTTAAAATAGCAGTAACAGTTTTCATTAATTCTTATTATAGATTTTAAGAAATTTAAATCCAATCTTTTTTAATATTCAACTTTTATTCATTATTGATTTATTTCTTGATTTAAAATATTGTAAATTTCTTTAAAATAAAATTTAGGGAAAGGGCATTTTTTTTCTTTGAAAAAACTTAAAAAAAGGAAGTTATAATTTTATATAGTTTAATGCTTGTTATAATCTCAACTACATGGCCATAGTCCTGCCGGGCAAATATCTTGCTAGGAGGGCTTTAAGGAATAGATGAGCTGTACTGGTAACAGGTAAGATAGTTATCTGAATATTCACGCTGTTAAAGTTTATAAAACTCTGTGTAGTATTATTAGGATAAAGAGACTCTCATAATTTTGTGCTATTTATTTTCTGGGCAGATCTTTCTTTAGAGATACTGCAAAGGTAAGTTTCAAGTTAGCCTCATTCCAAGAGACACCCATTCCAAATGAACAGAATCTAAATTAGTAAATAAAACATTTGACCTTATAAAATAACTTCAGCATCATATTACTTTGGATCACAGTAGATGTTAACAGTGATTATCTTTGGCTTCTAGGATTATAAATCAATTGTAATGTTTTCTCTATTGTTTTCTCCACTTTTAAACTTTATTAAGCTTGAGTTAATAGTCTTTTCATTAGCAAAATATAAACAACAACTTAAAAAAAATATGAATATACTAACAAAATACCACGGTAGAGCTTTAAAAAAAATCTTTTAATATTAAGCAATGATCAGATCTCTAACAGAGGCCCCTAGCACTTTTGGGTCCCTCTGCAATGAGCAGACAACTGAGCGGGGACCAGGGACGCACCAGAATTCAGTTCTTTCACGAGAGAGGACATGGTGTTAGTGATGGAATCCGCTGCTACGAGTAAGTCATTCCTTAAATTTCTTCTTGAACCTTAAATGAAGAAGAAATGACAATTAAAAAAAAAAAGGAGAGCTTTTCCCTTTTTTCCAAAATTTAATGCTGTTTGTCTATCATTTTTATTGACAATCTAAAGCAAGAAAACTTCTAAGACTTCTCCTTTTCAGATGTGCTTTGGTTCATTTCCTGAAAAACAATACATTCCTTTGATGTAGGAAGGCCTGGCAACTGATTTGGACAATATAATTTATTGTCCAACTTGGGACAATTTTGCAAGTGAAAGGGGGTGGTATTAATAAGACTGGGTGACTTGGCACAAACTAGGATGGTCCCAGATAAAGCAGTATGTGTGGTCACCTTTATGAATAACCCACACAGATGAAAACACTGGTTTTGCCAGGAGCGCTATGGCTTCCTAGCTGCTGCTGTCGTTTCAGCCATTACCTGGTGGCTGAGCCCATTGGATTCTGATTGCCATCACAGCTTCTATCTCCCACCAGAGCCCCCCTTACCATTATATGTACCTCTTAGGAATGGGATCTGTGTGCAATAAATACCCCCAGAGTGTGGAAAAGGGGTGAGGATTCTTGCTCCTGCTGCCAAGACATGGGCAGAAAACATATGTCCGGTACCCTGAACTGGAATTTAGACCATGTTTCTTTATGGTAGAGAAAGATTAGTATGATGTTTCAGGCATACTAAGGGTGTAATGGGGATTTGTAGGCTGACCTGGGACCTTAGATGGAGATGGAGCAGGCTCTTCACCATAATGTCTTTGGGAAAATGCGATCAAGATTCCAAATACCTGACTTACAGCACAAGCTCTGTGTGAGCTAGGCCACATTTCATTCTGTCATTTCTCAGAAACGAGAGCTAAATAAGTAAAATGATAAATACATGGACATTTAAAAGCTCAAAGTAGTTCAATAAAACATTAATTATAATAGAAAACTCAAACAGTTAAACTTAATTTAAAATACTGTAAATTTCTTTAAAATAAGATTTAGGGAAAGGACATTTTTCCTTCTAAAAGTTAAAAAAAGAGTTACTTTGTATAATTTAAATTATATTTATTTTCTTTTTTAGATGAAAAAAACCCTGTAAGGATCTTTCCTTTTCCTTCATAATAGAGAGTCCATCATTCTCTCCCTTTAAAACATAAGATTTTGTCCCTCTACACGATGGATGAAAAGGTCTGTTTCTTCACACTCTTTCCATCCAAGGCTATCACTGATGTTAAAACATTTTTTTTCTGTATATGCCAGGTAAAATTTTTATTTCTACAATTATTTTCATATATTTATTGGCAATTTATATTTCTTCTATCTGTTCATATCTTCACCTATTTTTGTTTTGGGGATGTCTTCCTTACTGATCTGTATATGCTTTATGTCTAACCAAAATTATGAAACTTGATTGCCATATATACTAGAAATGGTTTTCTTAAGTCAATTTTTTTTTTCACTTTATGGGGTTTTTTTTGCCTTAAAACTAGTGGTCAAATATATCTCTCTTCCTTAAATTTATATGTATGGGCCTGGAAGGATGTTCATATATTGCTAATTTAAAGAAAATGCAAATTGTGGAGCAAAATGTGATGTATAATCTTATTTGTGTGAAAAATAAAGAGTATGTATCTATAAAAACATACCCAAACATATCTATTTATATTGTATATAAGCAAAAAGTTGAGCGGGACCAAACTATTAATAGTGTTTACTTCTAGGAATGAGATTGACAAGATGAGGGTCGGCATGAGAATTTTTTTCTCTAATTTTCTATAAATTTAAAAAGTAATGGCAAGAAAAAGTTTAAAAAACTATCAAAATATTTCCAAATGAATAAGATCACTGGCCTTGGGACAACCCCCCAGTGTGTGTGAATGGAAGAGGCAGCCTGTGGGAGAAGAATGCTGTTTTTCATTTGCTTCATTCTTTGCAATCCTCTATTAACACGGAGGCCTCACCATGTAGCCCCATATTAGAGGCAGTGATTCAACTCTTTAGGGCACCTGTAAAGTTGACTCAACATCCTTCTTGATCACTTGAGAGTTAAAGAGCTGGGTTGTTTAATCTCAATCTTGAGTTTGCTTTAATGTAAAGAGAAGAAAGCAGGAAGTAAGATCTTTCAGAATTTGAAGATGAATTACATGTATAGTTTCCTGAGATATTAGGGAAAGGATTTCTACTCCCTTAAAGAGCAAACACCTTAAGGGGGAAAAAAATGGGGCAGGGCCATAGAAGCCAAAAGAAGGTAAAATGGCGAGGTGAGGATTCCACCTAGAGCGTTCCAGAAACAGCTTGTAGGCCAGGCCATGGAATACCCTAGAATATCCATGGTATGGCTCTGACGACTAGACTGCTCAACAGACCATGGTGACTTGTCACATAAAAGCAGAACACAACAAAAAAAATAAAGCCACTTACTTTGTGCAAACGCCTCCTGTACATCTCCACCTACCCCTGTGAGAGAGTCCTGAGGTGTGTGAGTCGGGGTGGAGCAGGCTGGCGCCGCTGACCGGACGGGCATGGGGATGGGCCTGCTGATGGTGTGGCTGGGGGAGGAGCGAGGGGAACCTGCCCCCTGGGTCTGGAGAGACAATGCAAGTCATTAATTTGTTTTTTTTTTCTCCCAAGAAAAAGCTATTCCAACACCTCAAAGGTTAAAAATGATAACCAATAAAATTTCAAAGCAGGAGGGAATCCTCAGTAATCGAGATGGTCATCCTGAACCTGAGTTGCAGGTGCAGGTAATTTAGGACCTGACTGTATGTTATCTGAGGCTTGGGTTACATCTTGAAAGCTAAGAGTATTAGTACAGCATTGTTCAATAATCTATGAGATGTGTCCCCAGGTAATGAAGCCACTGTTAGGCAGTGATAATTACAAGGTGTATCTATTCTCTCTGTGAAGGAAGTTCTATGTAGACGAAACAGCCGTTGAAGGAGAATGTTTTAAATAAAAACTAGGAGACTTTTTGGGGATGGATATGGTTTTACACTTCCTAAATTTTCAACCTGTGTGTCTTAGCATCATCCATACAGGATACTTTATAGTTCAAATCATGCCATGCAATATTGTGCATATTAAGTCAAACAAAGTGCAAATTGTTTAAACCCTATTATACAGTAAAAGTTGACTTTGTCGAATTGCTCTGTGATTTCAGGGATTCCAATGCAGAAGAGAAAAAAAGGAATCTTTGCTTCTAATTTTTGGCTACTGTTTCCCTGTAGGAAATGTCCTTCTCTTGGCCCATGAAAAAACAGCATTCTAGCAGTGAGAATAGTGGAAATTAAAAATGAGTAAAGAAAAAAGTATAAAATAACTGAAAGCCATTTACCTCTGTACTACAGCCTTCAGCATAAAACATTCTGAGACTGTCACACCTTGAATGTTATAGCTTTGTCTCTCTACAGTGAGGTCTCTTGGAAACATCTTCTCTTTTTAATAATTAGTTTACAAAGGAAGTCAGTCATGCATGAATAAGAAAATGCAACCAGACCCTCTAGTGCATACACAACAGATTAGATGTTCACATAAATTCCTTTCCAGTCTGTTGGGTCTGGCCAGGGAGAGTGAGGACTCTGCCACAGCAAGGCCCAGAGGTTCATCATCAACCCATTCAAACCCCTGAGATGTGCACCATGAGAGCAGTGCTCTGGAATATTCGATTTAGATATCTGCTGTGGGTTCAGCAGCTTACAGTTAAAGCATACAATATCAATCCTGTAAAATGCCATGCTGTTAGCTTTCCAGGGCTCAGCATCACACATAAAAGTCACATCTATAAGTTGAGAAAAACCCAGAATTAACAAAAGAAACAAAGCAGAACAGAGCACAGAAAGTAACTCGTGTGATGCCCAATGGGCTGAGGAGTCCACTCTTTCACTCTCAACAGTACCTCAGAATGGTCTGTCCGGGCCCAAGGAGGAGAGGTTGGCCCACTGGTGTTGCTCTGCAGCCTGTTTGCCCCAAGGGTGGGTCTGGTTTTCCCCAGCAAACTTTGGCAGCTCGGTCTCATTACCATGAAACCTCTGCTACTGAGCTACCCTGGAATTGTCCTGGTATTGCCCTGAGTCTCACCCCAATAATAAATGACTTCACGTTTGAGTCGCGCATTTCCATGGATGAAGGGTTTTCATGTACATCCTTACTGACTTCTGTCCGTGACCGCTGGAGTAGGTGTCATTACTCTAAATGTGCTGTTGTGGATCCCAGTACTCAAAGAGGGGAAAAGAATTGCCCAGGAGATGAAGCGAGAATATCTGAGCTGGTATCTGAGCCCAGGTGCTCTGATTGGCCTGGGCTGTGGGGACCCGGATGAGGTATGGCTGATGGAAGGTCCCTCAAAGGAGACAGATGTTGGTCAGGTGCTCTGAGGGCGCCCTCCCCCTGGAAAGCCCTTGTGTGCATCAGTTTCTAGACAGGACCCTCACCAGGGCTCCTTGCCTTCCTGACCTGTCCTCTTTACCAAAGAACCAGTTGCAACAGGGAGGAGGGACTGGAGATAGCAAGGTGGACAGAGGGGTTGAAGAAAGAAGGCTCCTCTTGGCTACACTGCATGGCTTACACTTTCAACTCTGGGAAGCCAGGTCCTCTGCTGTGGTAGGAGGTTTACAATAATAATACAATTTCACTTTTATATATAATTTACAGTGCATTAGGCACTTTTACATACATTTTTTGGTTTCATTCTAATAATCAGTGTTGTGAATGATAGTAGCTTATATTCAAATACCTATCTGCAGTCTACAAAGCACTTTAATCCCAACCACTTCACTGCATCCTCCTGACAACCATGAGGTATTATTATTTGCATTTTTCAGGTTAGCAAACTGAGCCTCAGAGGTGATAATTAGGTTACTCAAGGTCCCTGAGCTCAGGAATGGCAGAGATAAAATAAATCCCCAGCATTTAGTCTACAAGCCCAGGTCTTTCCCAGGGCACCACGCTGCTTCTCAGGGCTGTGGCCCTGAGTGATGGTGACCATCACTTGCTTCCATTTATGCTTCACTGGCATAGAAAGGGGTAGCAACCTGAAGGCTAAGAAGACACAGGACATGGACCTACTAGTGAGCAGTGTGGGAGTAGTGGCCTAGGGCTTCCCGCTGGGCCAGGCGCTAACCTTTCAAGTGCTGAGTCATGGGAGTGGTGTGAGTGCCCAGGGCGGCAGAAGAGCCTTTGGGTTGTTTTACAATCAGTACAGAAATACAGGCTTACCATCTCTTATCAGCACATTTGAAATCCAGAAAAAGAAAAAAACAACAACACAGATTGTTTCATAACTGATGTAAGGCTATTTATGTGGTCTCTGCACTATATTGCATTTCTAAAACCTGAACTATTCTGAATTCTGGAACATATCTGGACCCAGTGATTTCTGTATGGGGCTGTGGGCCTGCATTTCAATATCTGAGTGGCTGTATGGGGGCTGTACTCTGCACCAGCCTTGCTTGTGCTTGGGCCACCAGATTCCCCAGTACATGGTGCTTGAGGGTCTGCCCCCCTCCCCTTTGGGTACTACACCTGGCCTTTCTAACCTCCCTGTCTGTGAGTTCCTTACCTTTAGCAGTGCTCGCCCCTTCTCCTCATGCACTGAGCTCTCCTGCTAACTGCGTTTGCCTGACGCAATCCCAGGCCTACCTCTCTGCTTAATGTCTGGTCTCCAAAGCCAGCTTTCCCTACGCCTTTTTGCCTGCTTCCTTTCTTCAAAATTCCTCTTAGTGGTTCTATTAAGAGAAAAGTAATTGACTGTAGTTATGTGCTCAGGAAAAAACAACTGACTGAATCTAAATTATACCAGTGTGTGAATGACTAATAGCTACCATCTCCTAAATGAATCTCTAACTGGTGCAATTTCAAGCAGTCTGGTTATGTGAAGAATTTTAGTGGAAGATTCTATGCTGAAGAAAAGATTCATTGGCATCTTTCCTGCAACTTGCAACTCCCAAGTCATATCTCCAGTCTTTACCCAGACTTTTGAGGGGAGGACCCTGGCTTTCTGGCCCATCACGGCCCCATCTCTCTTTGTAGGACACTGCCCATTTTGATGCATAGTACCGTCCTAGGAACTACTGCTGTGAATGCCAGCTCTGGCTTTCCTTTCTGAGGGTCGTGTAGGGCCACTAGGAAAGGGAAGTTGCCTCTTGATACTGGGGTGGATCAGTGGGGTAGATATCACTGAGTTTTATTTTCACAGGGAGTAGCCTCTATAGAATGGTGGCCTCTGGCCTGGTCATGAAACATGGTTGTCTGCTAACAACTTTAGAAGAGTTGGAGCGAACACTCTCTGGGAACATCCTTTCCTGGAAATTACTTGATGATTAATGGAACAAAGACTTAAGGGACGATGGCCCATGCAGATCAATATATAGATCTAAAATTCCTGAGAAGGGAGGTGATTTATGGAAGAAGGAAAACATACATCATACTTGGCAAATTTAAAATAGCTCTCTTCCTAGAGAATAAATGAAAAATTCATTTCTATACTCCATCCTCTAAGTCCACTCAACCTGCTGTTGTATCAATTTTTAAAAAGTCTGACAAGATTCATATATTTTCTGGGTTTTTTTCCAGGAAGTATTTTGGTTTCCACTCAGCACCAAAAAGGAAGGCTGCTTCAAGGAAGGGCTCATATGTCTAATTACTGAACCAGCATGGCCCAGAGAAATGGCAGAGAGGGTAACCCTAGACAGGAGTGGGTGACATTCTGTACACCCTCCTCCTAACGTGAAAAGTCTGCCTCTCAGGTTTGGCTGAGAATACAGCCTAGTCAAGTTTGGTTTACTTAGCAGCCTGGGAAGGTAGAGCAAAACAGTGTTTATTTAGCTACATCCAACCCTCTTTTCATCTTTTCTCCCATTCACTATCACCATAGAGATTGTTGTATACAGAGTGTTATGGAGACCACAGGTAACTGATTCTCACTTGTTAGGCAGGAGGCGTCACTGGACTTGGGTCTTAACAGTGGAGATTTCCAGGCCGAGAAGAGGAAGCACTGGGAGGACAGAAGAGCATTCCAGGCCTTGGAGTATCCTGAGCCCGGCACGGGAAGTGTGTGGGGTACTGCACTTGGGTTGGGGGGCCAGAGTGGTTGAAGCATTAGGCTTACTGTGAGGAGTGGAGGAGAATGAAGCTGAGAAGCGGTGGAGACAGGCTTGGGAGCCTCCAATGTCATAAAAGAGTCTAGACTTTATCCTGAACTAGAGAGTCATCTTTCAAGGCTTATAAACCGAGAAATAATTCTTACTTTTCTAGAATTAACCAATCCATATTTTTAAAAATGGGTGTCTGTGTATATGAGTGTGTGTGTGTGTGTGTGTGTTTGTATGTGTGAGTGAGTGAGTGAGAGAGAGAGAGAGAGAGAGAGAGAGAGAGAGAGAGAGAGAGAGAGAGAGAGAGAGAGAGAGAGAGAGAGAGAGAGAGAGAGAGAGAGACTGAGAAGGTATGTATTTGAACACTAAATGTTAGTCCTTATATTGCAATTGATTATTTATTATGTGAATTATCTGTGTCCCCATCCTCACTTTTGATTGCTTCACTACTCCATAGAATACCCACCAAAGAGGAGGAGCAAGGGAAACAGAGAAA